TTGAGGCTTGGGCATGCCCCATGTTTTTTCCCCCTCTAGCTACCTGAACAAAGTGGTAACTCCTATAGCAGCTCAGCTCTTCCTATGCCAGGAAATTAAAAGGTAATAAGGAAGTCCAGTTTTAGAGCAGCAGTGAGTAGTTTCTATCTGCCAGCTTCATATTGCCAAGCAAAATAAGTCTTTTAAAACCCAATCTGTAATTGCTGCTGTCATAGAAATGTTAGCGGGTCACAAGTTTAGTGTCACTGGCCTACATTTTTCATATTTTATGTTCTTGTATCGTAGCAACATACTTATATTCTTTCTTCAGTTAACCACTGCATTTTGATCCTCAGAGTTTACAATGCTTCTGAATCTCAAGACACAGTGTTTGCAGATGTGGCCCCTTTGCTAACTTCTCTCCTGGACGGGTAAGTTAAAAATTGGGAGCAGGAAAGCTAAAGGACAACTGTCTACTGAAATCCATCAATTAAAAAAAATTACTTAAATATTAGCTGTTAACTGCTTCACGGTCATGTCAAGTTTTGCGGCGTTGCGGTTTCATTTTCCTGTTTTCTTTCTACTCAGCAGTGATTGAATGTTGTTTCCCCATATAAACAGTGAACACAACTGTTTATAAAATTTAGCAGAGTGGACAAATTCGGAAAAGAAAAGTAGGTCAGCAGCTCTCCTCTGGTCTCTTTCCACATGAACATTGCTTCTAATGGAGGATACTTTTTTTTTTTTTCTTTCCTGTTTTGGTTATGTTTTAGAACTGTTTTTCAGTTGCAAACACAGTATGATACATCTTTTCCAACCGTATATAAAAGGCTTGCCAGGGCCGTTGTCTGATCATCTGTTCTGTTCCTGTGTACAGCACATGCCACAGGAGGTCGTACAGTCAATTCCTGATTGAACCAGAATTGAGCATCCTCAATCTCAGTTCTTAAGAATCCCTCAGATGCTAGGGTTAAAACAGAATTCTGGTTTGAATAAGAAACTAATCAGTAATAAGCACTAACAAATGTATTTAATTACTTTTAGCCACTGAGGTTCTTGAAGTGTGATTTTCATTTACACTAAGGCCAAGTTAAGCTGCTTTCACCAATAAGCCTTGAGGTGGTTGTTCTTATAATCCTTCAGGCTTGAATTTAGGTTTACGTAATAGTTCCTTTCTGCTCTTTTGTCACCCTGAGTCAGCTGAACTATAGATGTTTGTCATAGACCTGATTACAGCCTCTTTCACTCCCCAGTGGCCTAGTTGAACAGTGGCAACCATAGTCTGCACAATGAAGTTTACAAATCTCCTTTTCTGTCTGATAGTTAAAAAGCAGCCTAGAAGAGGCATATTAGGATACTGTGAATATTGGGAAATCCCAAACATCCTGTTACACATGCCACAGAGGGGCCCATAAGGGCTAGCTGGGCTAAAGGCAGTGTTATGATGTGGCCCATAAGGCACTATTCTAGTCTCCAAGGATGAGTAACCAGTTTCCATAGCTGAGCGGCCTGAGGATCTCCTAGGTTGGAGGAGTTCGGAGGGGTCCTTAGAGCAACAGTTTTCGCTCTGTATTTTTCCTGTTGCAGTGAACATAAGTTTGCTTTGGCTCAATATGTTGCCAGTGTTTCTTCAGACCTATCTGGTTTGTACCTCTATTTACTGTACTTCCCACTTTCTAATTTGTGCATTGAAAGAATCCTGTCCTGAAAGCTAGGAGTTTTATATTCATTTAGGAAATGTTCTTTTATTGAAAACAAAAGAGCTGTCTTGTTTTTCCAGGAGTGCCATTTAAACAGAAACAGATTTTCAGGGAAGGAAAGACTGTGCATAAGAGCCATGTTTCTGAGCAGCCTTCCCTTTGTAAATGTGAAACAGACGGTCTGAACCTTGAACGTCTCTGCCCCTCCTGACTGTTTTGATCTGGGCTCCAAAACGGTCTGTAACAATCTTGAGTGGAAAGGAGTGTTCAACTGAGTGTTCAACTCCTTTTCCTTATTTTTCTTCTTCTTCCCTTTTTTTTTTTTTAATGAATTGTTTCATTTTTCAGTATAAATATACAGTAGGAAAAGATTGTTCCATATGCAAAACAGACAAAGTACTGCAGGCTTCAAAGTTTATAGTTAGCAATACAGGACCAGCAAGGGACTAAGATAACATTTCCTTTCTTTACAAGATTGAAGAATAAGCTTAAATTAATTTATTTATTTTAAGGAAGAATAATTTCCTCCTCCTTTGATTTCTTTTGACAATGTTTCCCACCCAGTGACAAGTTTGCTGTAGTGAACAGCCACATTCTTTTCAGGAGAGGAGTACTATGAAAGTATTAGTGTTCTACTTTGACAATAAGAACTTTTTAAAACAATAACATAACTAATGAAACACAATGTAGAAAGAGAAATGTTTGGGTTGATAGAAGAGAAATGTCTGATAGCTGAATCCTCCCCAGAAATGTTCAGATTAGAAGCCTGAGGATAAAAATGGGTTTCATGGGTTTAAAACCCTCATGTTGGAAGAAAGCGTCAACAAAGTAAACTCGGTAAATATAATTTGATCTGTTGCTGCTGCTGCCCATCCTTTTGCTGAATCATTCTTTCCTGTGCTTAGTTAGAACTAATACTGCTCTGGGTAGTTTTAGCTCACTTGGGTTTATTGAAATACTGTTTTGGCTTTGGCAAAAAGGATATCACTGGCTTAATTCCTGCTTTGTGTCTTTATCGTCAAAGTTAGAAGCATCTGTGAACTTCAGCTTTTACTCATATCATCTTTATCTTGTCAGAATTATTTTGGCCATGATGCTTTCTTTCTAACAAATTAAGAAAATCTAAATAGTAGCCATACTATTTGGAAGTTTGAGAGATTTCTGAAAAGATCTTCCATTCTGTTTTACCTAAGGAAAAGTACCAGTTGCTAACTTCTGGCTCCCTTTTTGGTTCATAAGATATTCACTCTTTATTTTGAAGAGGAACTGGAAGTGTCCAGAAGCGATGGCTTTTCAGGCAGTGTGTTTTGGGGGTGAAATTTTGAAAACCGCTTGTTGTTGGCCTAGCTGAAAACTATGAAAATTACTGGGAGGTTTCCACTGACATAAATGAAAGTAGATTGATGACAACAGTTAATCCCTGGGGAAATCCCACATTTCAGATTGGCAGCTCCAGTTTCTAGCACCTTTCGTTTTACTGTAGTGCTCCTTCCTTTATTTTCAGTTGCAGCTGCCTCCTTTACGCCATCAAATCTATGACTAGACTTCTAGTTATACTCTTTGCATCCTGGCTTGGGGACCTTATTACAGGTTCACTGACTGCAACTTTGACTTCACTAGAAAGGGTGCCCAGACATTGGCTGTATTGCTTATCAGCCCCCACGTCTTTCTAATAAGAGAAAACTTTCTTAATAGTCCTTCAAAATGATTGCTTCTAGGCACGTTTAGTATTCATTCAAAAAGCCTTCTAAATATATTTCTCCAGTGGCAATGTCAGTATTTGATGACCCAAAGTCAAAAATTGAAAACAACTGGATGAGGAGTGTTCACTGAAATTTGCTGGCATGTGCTTGCAACAACATTTTTAATATGCAGGAGAGCATCAGATTACCAAAAGCAGCTGTTCAGGTCAACAGTGTTTAGGCAGTGAAATTGCACTCCCTGCAGAGTAGGAGCAAGCCCATTTTTTCAACTCTTTAGTAGAGCAGAAATTTCAGCACACTGCAAAGCACTCCTAGGGCACGGAGATTCTGCTAAAGCTGGGTCTCTGAACAAACAAGGTAGACCAGTGAAGGAGCAGTCTTGCCAGTGTAGCTGCATGTTTCCTAAGAGTTTTTGCTGGCACGGTTCCGTAGTCAACACCAACGTGCCAGCAGGTCCCTGCAGTATAGACACTAGACACAGGTGAGCAGGGACTAATCTGCAACTGCACGTTATGGCCTTGGTCCTCAGTATAAAATAGGACCGTGACTGGACGCATTTGTTTCTTCCCACTCGTTTTGCTTATGATGTTAACTTTGATCCAACTGTATTAGAAACACACTTTGTGGATAGGATTCATACAGCGAAATTCAGATGAGACATTCACAACAGAGCTTGACTCTTTTTTTAATGTTCAGTGGAGAAAAACAGGTGTTTTCAGACCTCTGTTCATTTGACATATTTCACATCTCTGCTTCAGAAGATGATGAACTGTATTCCAGAGGTGCCTGTACCTCTGCACTGACATTGTACTCGTTTGCCTTCTGCAAGTCCACGTCAAATCCTGATTTTATTCCAGAGCAGAAATCTCCATGTGCATGCTTGTACTCAAGTGATGCATACGGTTTTAAATCCGTCTCTCTTATTATTAGGGCTCTTTTATCTTTTGCAGTGACTGTGGGCTGTGACTGATGAGCCTGCCTGAAAGGCTGTGAGAGCTGAAGAGTTTACTATTCCCAGCTGTTAAGATATTAATGCTGTGGTTTGCAGCATAGCAGTGTAAGACAAATCAAACCCAGTGATGGTTTACTTTAAAATGCTATACTGTAAACTGCAGTACTTCAGGAGCTGATTAACAAGTAGCTCAGTAGTGCGTGAACTGGAAGTGAGGCAGACAGCAAGTCTAACATCTTCAGTCATTCCAAGTTAAGCATCCCAGTGTTGTCAGTTCTCTACCCTTCAGAGATGTTATGAGCAGTACTTGATTTCATCCTGTTTTTGAGATCTTCAGGAAGAAATCTGCAGTGGCAGTGTATTTATTCTTAGTCTTGCTTCGTGTTCTCAAATTGTTTGGGGTTTAACTTGCCACCTAACAAATGCATTTGGTAGTGGTAAAATAAGTGAAGGCACTTTTGATTTTCAGGTACAATGTGTGTATCATGGCTTACGGGCAGACTGGAAGTGGGAAAACATATACAATGTTGGGACCACAGATAGAGGAGAACTTTGCATTCTCCACAGAAGATGAATCAGAACTTGGAATTATTCCTCGAGCTACCCAAGAAGTGTTCAGGTAACACTGACGTGATAATATCAACCTAGTAAGAGTTCAGGCTTGTGTTAGTGGCATGCACACAGAGTTTTGACATTAAACTCTATAGAAAGGATAAAGAAAGTTTGTAATTTATCATTACAGATTTCAATTTCACAATGATTATAGCACCTCTGACAACCATTCGATATTTGAGATTGGATATAGACTCCTAGTCTCTATCCTGCTTAGCTAGATTTCCTAAGAAAATAAAATGATGCAATCTTGCCTAGCGTGTCTGTCCATCTGTATTTCAGATCCCTAACTTTTGAATGTTTCAGTCATATTTGTGGCAGTCCAAAAGATACTTAAATTCTTACAAGCTTTGTGAGGATGGAGAGTTGAGTAGATGAAAGGGATCCAAATTAGGCCCCAATCCCACGGAAGGATGATAACAGACTTTCTAACAATGATCTGTTCTGGGCTAGATTCTTAGTTAAACCCAATGATTTGAACTGATACGCTGCAATGTTATAATAGAAGAGCCATTAGAGGCTTTTTCAGTTAAGTCTGTTTCTTTCAGAGAAGGGTAGAGGCTAAATCAACAAGAGCCAATTTTGTACTAGAATAACTGTGTCTAACTGTAAATACTTGCCTGAGTAGCCAGGCCCTTATTTTAGGATTTTTCTGGGATTTTAGGACTGCTATCTCATATGTTTTCCTCTTGACAGTAGTCAGCTTTTACAACCTGTACCTCATACACAGCTGGGGTTAGGTCTTAATAGTAGGAGAGGGGAGGGGAATGTCACAGTAATGACCAGAAATCACAATCCGGCCACCCCACAGAAACAGGTTGTGTGGTTTAAATACAGTCAAAATGAGAGTTACTTTTCCTGGGTTTTACACAGAGGTTGTGGTCAGATAGCCTCTTACAGATCTACCTGGAGCAGTTACCATCTCTGCCTGCTCATTGCTTGTGCTCTGCCAGAGACTATCATGCCTTGAGGTTCGAATGCAGTAACTCCCAGCAGGGAACTGGTATAAAAAACAGCTTGAGGAGTGAGGAGAGGTGGTGGAGAGAAACAATGCAAGTTGACACTGCTGTTTCCAAATGAAGGTCTATTTACTGCCTTGCATATAATTTAAGTGTGTATTCTTATTCTTTAGCGTAACATTAGTATGGAGATGAGGCACAGCCATGACTGAGGATATTTAATAGGCACTTTTATCAGATTGTAATTGGATTACAATTAAAGAATAGATCCTTATTTGCAGATAGTTTACTTGGGGTTTGACTTCAGCATTTTTTGGTTTTCTTCATTTGTGTTTTTTTTTTCTATTTTTATTCTGCAGGCTTATTTCAGAAAAGCCACTGGGAAGTTACTGGGTTGAGGTTTCTGTTGTAGAAGTATATAATAATGAAATTTTTGATCTTCTGGCCAAAGACAGTTGTGGAAGAGTATTTGGCATCAAACGTGATGTTGTCACAACGAGAGAAGGAAAGAGAGATGTTCCACTGCTTACGTACGAGCAAGGGCACGTACAGTGTTAGTGCAATGCGTAATTGTTGCAAAAATCAGTTATGAATGCCAGTGAACACTTCTAAACAATGAGTCCTTAGCATATGCATATGTGTTTCAGTTAACAGTCTATTAGATTGCAGCTGGCTCCAAATATGAACATACTCTCAGTACAATTCATTTTGGTTATGTTAAGCACCCTCCACTTAGGATGCCTGAAGATAACTATATATATTTCATCGTTGCTAGATGTAGAGCATGTTGTCAGCGCTAGGAAAAGAAAGGGTAACCCAGTCACAAAGGACTTTCCCTGGAGTTTTACTGTATTATAAGAGTCTTACAGATTATAATAGAAAGGTATGCACCACTTACAGATTTTTAAGAAGCTGCAATCATTGGGGATTTCTCTGCAGTCACTGGGGATTTAAAAAGTGCTAAAGAGAGAATGACTTTTTAAGTGATCTTTTAATATAAATGTCCCCCTTAACACTGTTGACGATTCATACGTTTTCATAATTGGAGGCATTAAGTGAGATTTGATATGCTGGTCTTTGAACCTGTGGTTCTTGAAAATCCAAGTTCTTCAAATCAAAATCCAAGATTGGTCAATATACCTTCTACTCTTGCAGTTTTTAGATGGCCACCTTCCCAGCATATATGTGTGTGGTAAGTTTGATTCTTTTTTACATGTGTCCTGTTGGTGAAGGGAGGCCTAAAGTAGTTACAGGCAACAGCTGTAGCTATTTAATGCCTTCTTGTACTTCTAAGCTTTACAAAGGCTTTACGTGGAAATGGCATTACATATTTATATAGTGTACAAAGCAAATGGAGATAATACTTTTTTTATATACAAAACATGTATCTTTGCTATTTTCATTATAAAAATCACATGCTCATAACAATTCATGCATTTACAAGAGCAGGTCTGTTTCAACTATTCCATTTCCGTAACAGATGTGTTGTTATGCTGGAATTAAATCAACATTAATAAAGCAGGTTAAGATAGGCCAGTATTAGTGACACTGGAGAAGTGATGCTACCCAGTGGAATTAAACTACTGGACATTTCACTGTGAGCCGGCAGAATGTCGACAGATTTCAGAAGGGAGCATTTCTGCTGTGAACTACACAGTGAGTGGACTGGCAACCCAGAAGAAAGTTCTCTGTTCCTTAGGCAAATGATGTTAATGTTTGTGAAGAGAAAGAAACATCTGGTCTACTGAAAAGCTTAGCACAGTATTATTACATTTAACATTTCCATGGGAAACATGATGTTTTTATTCACTTCCCTATCATAATGCCTGTCACAATCTAATCGGTACTTCTTCAGGAGGAATTAGAAGTCAGATGTAAAAAGCATTTTTCCCACTGTGAATTAAAATAAAATGCACCCTCAGTGGAATCACATAAGCATTATAATCACTAGTTTTGGTTTGTTTATGTGGGTTTATGTTATTGCCAGAAAGCCTTGATAAAAACATGACAGTGTACTGGAGGGTTGCGTAAACATCTTTTTAGTCTACCTGGCTATATGCATGTATTAACTTGTATTTTCTAGCCATTGAACTGCTCATGGAAAAGTGGAACTCCAGAGAAACGGTAAAGTGGTTTACTTCACCAGCTGGGCTATATAACTCTCCTTTCTTTCTATGAAACAACAATCACTGCACTACTCTAAAAGGGTTTAACATTTTTCTCTGGGGTATATCTACTCTTCACGCTTGAGCTTAAATATGCTTTCCAGACAGATTCTGCATTCTTCATTGCACTCTGTATGTCCTATAAGAGCACGGAATGAATTAAAAACAACTAGAGCTTGGATGATGAATCCTTTTCCCTCTCAGTCTGTATTATGCTGCTTGGTGGGTTTCTCCCAGTCTGTGTTCTTGGAGTTCCCCAGCTGTGACTATATTGTAACTTTCGGCACCTGGTTAGTTTGGATGGATACAGACTCCCTAGGCTTTACTGTCAGGGAAAACAAAGGCTCCTTCAGAGGTGACTGGGAGCAGAACCTAACGTGTGTGTGCCGATTCCTTCTTGAAGGAGCTAGTCTTTTTCCGTTGACTAGAGAAGGAAGGAACTGTATGACTTAGCAGATGAAAAATGGGTGCATACAGGGTGGGTACAATAGGAGTTGAATACTTTTTTTCTGCTTTGTCAGAACCTTCAGGTAACGTTTAAATACAGTATCCCAGTGACCCAGATGCTGGCCTGGATCATTCCTGAAAAACGTTTACCTCCGAGGAGGCTTTGCATAGTTACCAGGTGACCCATCTCTTTTCCTAGGCTTTGAGGCAGAGAAAGGTGAGATGTGACTGGGATCTCTGCCACAGAAACAGGAACCAGAAGCTGCCGTAAGGTTTAATTTGTTCTTCTAGTTCATAAAATGGCTGCTGTGTTTATTTCTGTAAATTTTAATGTATGGTAAAGGAACCTGGGGCCTTGAGCTAAGAACCTTCTTAAAACATTTATCTAAATCAATTGATAAATACTCAGTCCAAATGCAAATATACACAAAAATATGGACTTGTATTTCAATGACAATGCAAGCTGCAAAAAAGTCCAATTCATAAGCTGGTTATATTAATAATTATACAGAAAGGTTAATAAGAAAAAGCAAACCCAAACAAAGTGAGGGAACCATTGAGTGAGGCCACCCAGCTGCCTGAAATCTAAAGTAAACAGCTAGTGCTTTGAATAAAAACACATCCTCATTTGTGATAATATTTCATCTCAGAATATATTGGCCTGCTGGGTCTTACTGGTTTCTCCATATGTCCAATAAAATACAGTAGTCTTTTTCCTGTTACCGTGTACATCCTACGGAATCACAGAAACCTCAGTTCCTTTCTTCTTTTACATCTTGGTTGACTTTGGAGAACTTTCAGCATGAAACTTTTAACCTAAGCACAATGAGGTTTCTCTTTGTAGAAGCTGATCCTTGAACGTGTGGTACATACAGCATGATACAGTAATAGCAATTATACTAAAAACCATTACCAGGAGACAATCCCACCGAGGAGCTGCTGTGATGAGTTTGCAGCACTGGGCTGCAGATGCTGTTTACCTTCAAAGTCAGCTGCAGTTTCCTAATAGATGCCCACCACTAACTGCATACCCCAAGGCTTAGCTCTGTCTGCAAACTCCAGTGAGAGCACAGCAGCTTAGCAGCATTGCCCACTTGCCAGTGCACAGTAACAACAGCTTGCAAAAGCTGATTGCCTGTTGCTATGTCCTAGTGAAGGCTGCACACCTTTCAGGCTATCCAGTCCTGGCTGATCAGCTATTGGAAAATGCAGTTCAAAACTCAGGAGGGCAGGGGCAGCTTCCTTGAACTTGAGGCAATAGTGGAGATCACCCTAGTCTGTCTCTCTGTCTTGCCTGACTCTGTAACTGGAGCCACTACTTCCCTGTTTGTGCCAGGTCAAACTGAGCCAGGGAGGCATTATGGTGGGCCATCACTGGATGCATAGAGGCCCAGGTATTACAGGAGATGCAAGTACACATGGCTCAGGATTGACACGTTGAACTCTATAGTGACGATTTAGCTCCTGAAGCCCTTGTTTATCGTGTTGCTGGATTACTTGGGGAACTGCTGATGTGGTTGCTTCTGTCTTAAGTGTCTGTCTTACAAAGTTTAGTATGGTGTAGCTAAGTGTATTCCCCTTCTTCAGTATGTATACCTTTGCTTTATTTTCGGAGTAAGTTGTTTCAATTGAGTATATCTCTTTTTTCTCTGAACTCTTCAAGTTGCCTGTTCTTAGCATGTAATATGTTTGTACCCAGTGTGACTTTCACTGAAATTGGCCAAATCTAAGTCAGGAAGGCCTTGCCTTTTATGACATGCTTGCTTTTGCAGTGATGCAAAACCAAGTCTGTAGCAGGCAGCCTGTGAGGAGAGTCATTAATGGTTCTAGTGTCTTACAAGGCATTCCATAACCAGGCTGAGAGATGCAGTCCTAATAATTTATACCCCCATCTAGAAACTAATGCTTGGAGGTGTAACGTGATTACTGAACAAGGCAGTGCAGCGAAAGGAAAGGGCAGGGAACACTTAGCATTTTATTGGTAATCTTACCTCATTTGTTTTTCAGTTTGCAAACCTGGGGGAAATGGTAGGCTTTTTCTTTACCTAATCAGTTTATTTCACCTTCTGTATCAGGTTTTTGCCCTTCAATTGCTCATACTTGCAGTTATTTCCTTCAACTGAAAAACAGAACAGGTAGTACAAGATAAAAAGGTCTATATAAACTTATGCCTGTCTATTCTGACACTGTACCAGAATCCCTGTTTCCCTGAACAGCAGAACTAAACTTTTTCAAAAGGATTTTTGAATTAATTCTGAATATGAACTGCAGTTTCCAAAGGCCCAGGGAAATTCCCTGTTTTTCCTTGGCCCTAATTCTGTACCTCCCAAAGAGCAGGTGCTTGTTTAACATAAACTAGACAACGCCCCATCTGTAAGACCAGAGATTTCAGGAATGTCTAAGTCTATTTGTGTATTTTCTTCCGAAGTGCAGAGGTGTAGTTGTTTCAATCACATCCAGGGCTAAGGTACTCTATCTACAGACGTGCAAGGCTGGTAGGCCACCTCCTCAGCACTTTTAGTAGTAAGTCACAGCTTTTGCCTTGAATTTTCATCTTGGACTATGTCCTACCAGAAGAAAGATTGTAACACAGCTGCTTATGCAATTCAAAACTGAGAGAGCAGTTCAGAGAGAGTGGGGAATAGTACAAGGAGTTAAAAGAGTTGGAAGAGGAAATGATCAGTTCATATTGCCAGCTTTCTCATGTCATCTTTACTGTGAATGAGTTAAACTTTCTCCTTGTTTCTTTATTTCCTAGGGCTGTTGAAAATGCATCAGAATTCTTGCATCTGGTAAAAAAAGGGCTACAGTTAAGAGTCAGACACCCAACACTGGTGCATGCTCATTCCTCCCGTTCTCATCTGGTAGTTACGCTGACCATAACGACAATTGTCTCTGGAGAGAACTTTGGTAAGAAGGATGTTACTATATATATCCAGAGCCATTTGTTTTTGAAACATAGTCTGCGGACTGAAAGGTTTTCGTATTGTTCTTTTTTCATTTTTCCAATGCTTAATCCGTTCCCTCAGTTCTTTTCTTTTGTTGTTTAACCTTTTAAATACCTTTTTAAACACCTTGCCAGTTTGATTTCTGAATGCTGCTGGTTTTCTTAGATGCTTTCATAGAAACTTCTTACTTTTTTTTACATGTCTTGACTTACGAGGTTCTTAAAATTTATTTCGTTAGTTGTTTCACGCTATAAAACTTGATCAGTAAGTCATCATCTGATAGACACTCAAGTACAGTAGTTAAATCACTTTGTATGACATATCATCTAATTATACTTGCTAAGTTTGTGGTAAAGCTAACCACCGTTGTTGGTATTTTGGGGCATATGCCCTAAAGTGTTTTAGGACATACGCTAATCAGCATATGCTGCTGGGTGAGAAAGAATTGGTTCTTTATCTGCTGCCTTGCAAGAAAGCCATTAAATTCAGAGTCTCTTGAACTATTAATAATAGGTCACTGCAGGAACAGCACAACATGTTGTCTTATTTAGTATGGCAAAACCTGTATTTCTACATTATAGTTATGTCCTTTGCTTGTTTTTTTCGTTACCACATCAAGACTTACCGATTTATTGCTTTAGGAATAATTTTGGCTTTGGGGGGTGGGTG